TCAGCAGGACCTGGGGTGGCTCCTGTCTTATGTTGGTGATTTGTTTCTGTTAAGCAGCTTATTGCAGCACCACTGCTTTGCCAGTGTCTCATTTTTATTTTGTTTTGTGCAGGGTCACACTCCCTATTGTTCTTGGTGAATAAGACCAAGGCAAAATTGTAATCTGGGATGGCCTTGCCTCCTCCTTAATTGCTCTTTATATTTCCTGGAGATCTTGCTTACCCACAGGTTGTTTGATGGTTTCGAATAAACTTAAAACCCTTTTTATTCCTTACCTGGCTTTTTATTCAATATCTGGCTTCTGACTTGAGATTCCACACTTGCCATCTTCGACTCTGTTCCTATATTCACTTTTATATGCTTGTCTCTTCTTTTTTATTGTCCAAGAGAAATTCTCAGTGAAAATAGTCTTTCTGGTGACAGTTATTTCAGCTACCAGAGTGGGCAATATCCCAGTTTTTGGGAGGACTTTCCTATGTTATAATACAAAGTTATCCCAAGAGTTCCACACCCGGTTCTTTGTGTTCCCAGATTCTCACTTCCATTAATCAGTCTGCCCTGTGGTGCTTCCAGGGTTGGTGCAGGACTTCATTACTTAGATGGAAAAGTCTTTCTGTTGTTACTTAGAATAAAATCCTTCTAACAGTCTCCTAAACTCTTGGTAGCATTTGTAGAGTATATCCAAGGACTGCCTATGTCCATCTAAAAGTTATTTACATGTTTTCAGCCTGTATTAAAATTTGCCATTAGGAAGAACTCATTGTATTGGAGCTTAGGTGTTAGTTGCAACCTGGGATAATATACCTGCATGTGAAATAAATATGTTAGGAATTAGTATGACTCCTGTTGATACACTTAAAAGCTTTTCCTTGGTACAAGTTTTAACAGAAGATGCTAGTTTTGCAAGGTTGAAGTTGAGGAAGTTTTCTCTTCCTGTAGTGAGATGTATGGCATTTCCTCATTATTTACCACCATCAGAATTTGTTTCATCTAGTTTCTACTGCATGCAGTTTGGTATCTTGTCTAAATTACATCTCTAGACTCCACCAGGTATCAATGGAAAGCAGTAAGTGTCTTCAAAGAGCAATTTAACCTACTTACAATATCACAAGTACTTATTTTAAACACCTGTTGATGGCACTTAACTAATTTATACAAAGCAGCTAACCTTTTGGGTGGCTAAAAGCATGGCTGTATGTGCAGCACATAAAGAGCTTGAATTTAGCCATGTGTTCTTGAAGCTTTGCTGTCCACCTGCCAAGTCTTCTGCATTACTGTTACTCATCTGATGTTACCACTGTTGAAGGAACAGGATGGTGACTGAGTGTCTTACCCTTTTTATACGAGAGTTCAGTGCTGTGAAAGGCAAGTAGGTGTGCAGGGATCTTGTGTGGTTCCAATTATTATTCAGACAGAGAGAGCGTTGCCTGCATAGCACATAGGTGAACCCAGCTGAACTTCGGTGGGAAAATGCAGTTTAAAGCATCGAAGTTAATATAGCTGTAACTTCAGAGAAATTGTGATGGTGACCTATGCTGAGATTGTGCTACATTGCTGAAGAAGAATAATTGTGGTTCTTTGAAATAATATACTTTTGTGGGAATTCCACCACTTTTCCATTCTTGCCTAGGCTTGGAAATGTAAGGAGCTGAAAGGGGATTGTTTCCATGTGAGGAGTACAGTGCATCTGCTGCCTTGGAAAACATTGCTTAAAATTCCAAATTTGCACAAATAAAAAGGATTTTTACTCACCCTGGGATCTAAATTGAATTATTTATTTTTTTTTAATTCCAAGATTACCAAGGAGTTCTTTTTTATCTTGCTTTAGACAAAAATAATTCCTTTTAAGGTATCTTACCAAAGGCATTTTTGATCATATAGATTCTGGTTTGACTTTGGGGAAGGTGAGGCAGATTTGGGGTTAGTGAGATTCTTCTTTCCTACACCTCTTAGATTTCTCCCCTTCCCCCCCCAAAAAATTTTCTTGCAGTGGAATTATTTCAGTGTTATGGTCTGATTTTTAATGGTCTGATTTTTAATGAAATATCCTCTTTTCATCTCTGTTTCCCAAATATCATCAATGCTTTCCCCTTTCCATTGTATCATTTCAGGTATACATCAAAGTTATAGACACAAACAATCACAGGCCTCAGTTTTCTGCTTCAAAATATGAGGTGGTTATACCTGAAGATACCATACCAGAGACAGAAATTCTGCAAGTCAGTGCCACAGACAGAGATGAGAAGAATAAACTGATTTATACTATGCAGGGCAGCACTGATCCCATTAGTCTTAAAAAATTTCGTCTGGACCCTGGAACTGGCTCTCTTTATACTTCAGAAAAATTGGATCATGAGACCATGAACCAGCATATTCTCACAGTAATGGTAAATAAACACAAAATTTCTTTTGTAGTCAATAATAAACCAATCTTTTTTTAATGTCTTTTTAATTTGTCCCCTTAATTCAAACATTTATTTGTATGTTTAATTTGTATGCAGTCTTTTTGACTCTGTGACTGTACAGATTGAACCTTGAATCATTACTAATATTTGATGAACTACTGAAATAACAGTGCTAATTACTAGTAATGTGCTAACTGTTTCAGGTTCGAGATCAAGATGTTCCTGTAAAGCGCAACTATGCTAGAATCATCATCAATGTTAGTGACACAAATGATCATGCTCCATGGTTCACCAGCTCTTCCTATGAAGGACGGGTGTACGAGTCAGCAGCTGTTGGATCAGCAGTACTCCAGGTTACAGCATTAGATAAGGACAAAGGAAAAAATGCAGAAATTGTGTACTCTATTGAATCAGGTAGATTGACTTTCTTACATCTTCAGTTTATTTTGAAACAGTGCTTGCTGATACTTTGTTTCAACTGTAGACATGTAAAAAATAGCTATAAAAAAGAGGGCAGTACAGGTGTATGTGTCGTATTCTGCGAGATGTATTTGAGATGTAGCCTCAGAGCATTTAAAACTACAATGACAAATATTCATCTCCCTCCTTTAGCTATTTATATTATCCTTTAGATACATTAGAATATTTTAGCAGTAGTAGAAGAAAAAGCTACCTTTAAACCCTTGAGGGGTGTATTCTTTAGAAATTACAGAAGCATTAAATTCAGATCTAAAAAAAGCATTCTTTTTTGATAGTGTAAGTGATATTTTGTGGCATAGGCAAAGCAAGGATTTGTTGAAAAGAGTAAGAGCCTGAGACAAGTGCTTTTGTGATTAACACAATGTGAAAGAAAGGAGCTAAAAAATAACATAAATATCTATATATTTAAGCAGTAAATAGTCCCAGTTTTTAAGTTAAACTTTCTGATAGATGTAGCAAGGAAGTGGTTGCTTTGTATGGTTCCATCTGGCTGATTTTAGATAGTGGACCTGCTATTCTAGCTCAATAAAATATGTAAAAAATTCTTTAATAGCTGGTCAATTTGGCATTAAGGCTCCTTTCAGATTGCCGGCCAGAGAAGAGCATTAGGTGCTGCTGCTTATTTTTAATGTCAGAGTATCTTTCTCAACTTGCCTATAACAATGCAATTCAAATGATGGCAGTTTTGAATAATAAGAAAACAGGATGACATTGACTGAGGTTACTTCCCAGATGGAAATGAGTTTTGGTTCAATCCATTAAATCTAGATACAAGCCTGCCATTACCAAGGTCCTGAACTATTTAGGCATTATGACTGGGAAAAAAAAAGTTATTTAAATTTCATTACCTGTGTGCAGTACTGCTTTCAAGGTAGAAAGTAACTTAAAATAAAAATCCTGGTAACAAGCAGAAGAAACTGTATATTAAAGAGAACAGTAGGTAAAAAGTTACTCAGTTACTGTTGCATGCGAGGTGGTATGTGCAGATGCTTTTTTTTATTTGACATAAGTTGCTTTGCAAAGCATAGGAATTGTTTACTGTAAATATTTTCCTTTAATTCCCCCAAAGTGTTGTTTTGATATGAAAACATACTTTAACACTGTATGACAACGAAGATGTGATTCTGATACTCTGAAGAAGAAGAATGTTTTTAAGTGTCTCATAAGTTGCTTAAAATATATGTTTGTTTTCTGTTATTTGTTGAAATATGACCTTTTTACTAAGCAGGACACTAATGTCCATGAAACTTTTCTCTTGCCTTTCCCATTTCAGTAGTGCTTGTTTTATGAATGCCAAAGCATCACAAGAAAATGTGGGTGCACTCTGTCTAGAATGAAGTTACACCCTGTTCTCTTCCTTTCTTCTAGCTTTTTGTAGGAGTAAATGTAAGACTTTCTTAGGCTTGTTTTACAGGACTGTGATCTACTGGGAGGTTAAAGCATTATAATTGATGTTCTAAGCATATGGAAGAAACATTCCTTAAATGTTTGTAATGGCTGCTTAGATTTGTAATGGGATATTCTAAGAATGCCACTGTGTTTAGAGCCTCCACTGAAAAAAAAAAAAACCAAACAAAAAAACCACAAAAAACCCCTCTTGCCTACTTGTGTGCATAACTCAGAAGTTCTTAATGAATTTTTTCCATGCTGAGAACATGGCTTTAGTAATGTAATTTTTTAAGGAAGTAAAATGTTAAATCTTACCATATTTAGTACATGAGCTGAATATTGTATGCAGTGTAGTTCAGCTATATATTTGAAAAATATAAAGAAAACAAGTGTTTATCAAATGGTAGCTGGTAATCCTCAGCAGGTAGTATTTTTTTTCTGATACTATCACAGGGAATAACTTGCCTATGCATTAATAGGAAACTAGGAGAGAGATAACTGTTGGTCCAATTCAGAAAGATTAATTTTGAAGCAGTGATTTAAACAATACTTGCATAAGCAATTAAGATTCACAAGTGTAAATTCATTAAAACACTTCTTTTTTTCAAAGCAGTCTAGTTATTTTAGATCATAAAATGTAACTTGTATTCCACTAATATTAACTTCTGAATATAATTTTCTTTCAGCTTCAGTAGATTTTTAAGTTGGCTTAAACATGAACTCCATGACAAAAGATAATTTGAAGAAAATACATAATTTATAATGTTGAAACTTGCAAAATGCTTGTTATCTTTTTAAGGTTTTTGTTAATGGAAAATCAAACAATTTTTTTGCATTTATTTTCAAGGCTTGGATGGCTTTGCTAACTATGTTTTATGCAATGTTTCCACAAGTAAACTTAGAACTAGTGCTAACTCTTGATTACAGAAAACTTTCCAGAGAGGCTAACAAATGTTTGTTAAACAAAACTAAGAAAATTTAATATTCTCGCTATATGTGTTCTCGCTATATGATCTCTTTTAGTATATAGCTAAAAAAGCAATCATCCTTTAAGTTCTGTATACCTCTTTCTTAATTACTTTTCTTTTTCTTCACAGGGAATATTGGAAATTCCTTCTTTATAGATCCCGTTTTGGGTATAATTAAAATTGCAAAGGAATTAGATCGTAGTAACCAGGAAGAATACAACCTGATGGTAAAAGCTACAGACAAAGGAGATCCTCCAATGAGTGAAGTGACCTCTGTGCATATATTTGTTACGGTTTCTGATAATGCCTCACCAAAATTCACAGCCAAAGAATATTCTACAGAAATCAGTGAAAGTGCCAGCATTGGCAGTTTTGTTGGAATGGTTACAGCATACAGTCAGTCTTCTGTAGTTTATGAAATAAAAGATGGTAATATAGGTGATGCCTTTGCTATCAACCCGAACTCGGGTGTCATTGTTTCTCAGAAGATACTTGACTTTGAAACTTTGCCTGTTTACACTCTAACTGTGCAAGGAACAAACATGGCTGGCTTGTCCACTAATGCAACAGTTTTGGTACATCTTCGGGATGAGAATGACAATACACCAATTTTTATGCAGGCTGAGTATACAGGACTCATCAGTGAATCGGCTTCAATTAACAGTGTGGTTCTGACTGACAAGAATATCCCATTAGTAATTCGAGCTACAGATGCTGATAAGGAATCTAATGCTTTGCTTGTTTATCAAATTGTTGAACCATCTGTCCGCAAATATTTTGCCATTGATTCTAGCACTGGTGCCATTCGGACAGTAATGAGTCTGGACTATGAGGAGACAAATATTTTCCACTTTTCAGTGCAAGTACATGATATGGGGATACCACGTTTATATGCAGAATATGCGGCTAATGTTACTATTTATGTAATTGACATCAATGATTGCCCTCCTGTGTTTTCAAGAGAGTTGTATGAGACATCCATTTTGGTTCCAACCTATAAAGGCGTGAAAGTCATCAGCGTAAATGCCACTGATGCTGATTCAGGCATTTTTTCGCAATTAATTTATTCCATTATTGAAGGCAACATTGGAGAAAAATTTTCAATAAACCCCGAGACTGGAGATATAACGGTACAAAATACAACTCAGTTAAGAAGCAGATACGAATTAACAGTGAGAGCATCTGATGGCAGATTTGCAAGCACTGCATCTGTAAAAATTAATGTGAAAGAAAGCAAAGCAAGCCAGCTGAAGTTCACACAGAGTTCTTACTCTGCAACAGTACAGGAGAATTCCACAGAGGCAAAAACAATAGCTGTTGTTACTGCTATAGGGAATCAAATAAATGAGCCTTTGTTTTACCATATTCTAAATCCAGACAGCAGATTTAAAGTAAGCCCAACTTCAGGAGTCCTTTCAACAACAGGAATACCATTTGATCGTGAACAGCAAGAATCTTTTGATGTGGTCATAGAAGTGACAGAGGAATATAAACCATCAGTTGTTGCACACGTTGTAGTTAAAGTCACAGTGGAAGATGTGAATGATAATGCTCCATTTTTTGTCAATCTTCCATATTATGCTGTCATTAAAGTAGACTCTGAAGTAGGCCATGTTATTCGACGTGTCACTGCAGTAGATAAAGATACAGGCAGAAATGGAGAGGTGCATTACTATCTCAAAGAACATCATGAACATTTCCAAATTGATCCCACTGGTGAAATCTCACTGAAGAAGAAGTTTGAACCAGACACACTAAATAAGGAGTATCTGGTCACAGTAGTGGCAAAAGATGGAGGAGACCCTGCTTTTTCTGCTGAAGTTACAGTCCCAATTACAGTTATGAGTAAAGCTATGCCAGTTTTCGAAAAGCCTTTCTACAGCGCAGAGATACCAGAAAACATTCAGCTCCATAGTCCTGTGGTACATGTACAAGCAAACAGCCCAGAAGGACTTAAGGTGTTTTACAGCATCACAGATGGAGATCCTTTCCATCAGTTCACTATCAACTTCAACACTGGCGTTATAAATGTGGTTGCCCCTCTTGACTTTGAGTCTCATCCAGCCTACAAACTGAGTATTCGAGCAACAGACTCCCTAACTGGGGCACATGCTGATGTGTTTGTAGACATAATAGTGGAAGACATCAATGATAATCCTCCTGTGTTTACAGAGCAGTCTTACACTGCCACCCTTTCTGAGGCATCTGTCATTGGAACATCTGTTGTACAAGTGAGCGCTACAGATGCCGATTCTGGAACAAACAGGGGGATTTCCTATCACTTGATTGAGGATAATAGCGAAAGTCATGACTACTTCCACATAGATAGCAGCACTGGACTCATTCTTACAGCAAGAACTTTGGACTATGAACAAATTAAACAACACAGGTTACTAATAAGGGCCATAGATGGTGGTATGCTGCCCTTGAGCAGTGATACCATTGTAACTGTTGATGTAACTGATCTCAATGATAACCCCCCTCTTTTTAACCAATTGCTTTATGAAGCTAAAATTAGTGAACTGGCTCCCCGAGGGCATTTTGTGACATGCGTGCAAGCCTCAGATGCAGATAGCTCAGATGTTGACAAGCTGGAATACTCCATTCTGACAGGCAATGACCAAAAGAATTTTGTAATTGATAGCAAAACTGGCATTATCACCATCTCAAACCTACGCAGACAGACATTAAAGTCACATTATAATCTTAATGTGTCTGTTTCTGATGGGGTCTTCAGAAGCTCAGCTCAAGTTTATATAACTGTAACCAGTGCCAATATGCACAGTCCTGTTTTCAGCCAGAGTGAATATGAGGTTGAACTAGCTGAAAATGCTCCATTGCATACGTTGGTGACTGAAGTTAAAGCAACAGATGAAGATTCTGGTACTTATGGCCACGTCACTTACCACATTGTGAATGACTTTGCCAAAGACAGATTTTACACAAATGAGAGAGGGCAGATATTTACCTCTGAAAAGCTTGACCGTGAAACACAAGCGGAAAAAGTAATTGCCATTAGTTTAATGGCCAAAGATTCAGGAGGAAAAGTTGCTTTCTGTACTGTTAATGTAATACTTACAGATGACAATGATAACGCTCCTCAATTCCGAGCAACAGAGTATGAAGTAAATATTGGATCTGATGTTCCACGGGGTACTTCTGTCATTAAAGTCTGGGCATCCGATGCTGATGAGGGTACAAATGCAGACATCACATATGCTATTGAAGCAGAGTCTGAAAATGTTAAAGAGAATTTAGAAATTGATTCATTGTCTGGTATAATTACTACAAAAGAAAGCTTAATTGGTTTAGAAAATGAGTTTCTGACCTTCTTTGTTAGAGCAGTTGATGGTGGATCCCCCCAAAAAGAGTCAGTCGTTCCTGTCTATGCTAGAATACTCCCACCAGAAGTGCCTCTTCCAAAATTTTCAGAGCCGTTTTATTCTTACACGGTTTCTGAGGACATTCCAATTGGGACTGAGATAGATGTTATCAAAGCAGAGCATAATCAGACTTTAGTATATAGTCTGATTAAAGGGAACACTCCTGAAAGCAATAGAGATGATTTTTTTGTGATTGACCGACAGACTGGAGAGTTGAAACTTGAGAAGAATCTTGATCATGAAACAACTAAATGGTACCAGTTCTCAGTTCAAGCACAGTATGCAAATGAAGATTATAATGTTGTTTCCTCAGTAGAGGTGAGCATTCAGGTAAAAGATGCAAATGATAACAAACCAGTTTTAGAGTCCAATCCATATGAAGCATTCATCGTAGAAAACATGCCAGCTGGAACAAGAGTTATCCAGGTTAAAGGAACTGACTTAGACTCAGGACTCAATGGGCTGGTTACTTACAGCTTGGATCCTTCTCAAGAACTAGACATTATAGAGTCTTTTGCCATAAACATGGAAACTGGCTGGATTACCACTCTCAAAGAACTTGATCATGAGAAACGAGACAAATACAAAATCACAGTGGTTGCATCTGACCGGGGTGAAAGAATTCAACTGTCTTCTATGGCTGTGGTTGAAGTTACTGTTACAGATGTGAATGACAATCCTCCACGCTTTACTGCAGAGATCTATAAAGGAACAGTCAGTGAGGATGACCCTCCTGGTGGGGTAATTGCCATCTTGAGTACAACTGATGCTGATACAGAAGCAGCCAATAGACAAGTCTCTTACTACATTACAGGTAAATCTTTTTGAATAATGTCAGAATAATCATTTAAGTGGTCCTGGAATGATGTGAGATATAGCTTAATCTTCCAAATTATTGAAAAGTATTAGAAACCATAGAGCTGCAAAGAAAGAATGTGTGTGGCTTAATGTGAATATTAAAAGCTTCAGGGGAAAAAAATTAGTTTTAGAAAACAGGTCATTGGCTTTCTGTTTCATGTTTGCCTTGCTTAAAATGCTTTCCTATGTTTGTTGTTTACCTATATATCAAATTTTATGTAAAAAATATACTTACACTGAAATTAGTGATGTAGTTAAAGAATGAACAAAAGAAATTTCACTAAATAATAGACTATTAATTTCCAGTGGAATATTTTATTGGTTTTGTTATTTAGCATATGTCTTGATATGATGTTATCTATAATGCTACATGAATTTCTACACTGATTTTTATAGATTCTATTGGCTGCAGTTAAACTTGTTGTATGAGCATCTACTGACTATTTCTACCTGGAAAATGAAGCTATTTTTCTGTAAAGCCACAGAGCGTGGCTGCTTATTTGCATTTACATTTTTTTGTCTTATAGCTGTAACTTAATATTGATAGAGTAATAGTGGCAGTCTCTCTCTTGTCTGTACTTAAACGTTTCTTTTCATATTCCAGGAGGTGATCCCTTGGGACAGTTTGCTATCGAAAATATACAGAATGAATGGAAGGTCTATGTCAAAAAGCCTCTGGACAGGGAAGAAAAGGATAATTACCTTCTAAATATTACAGCTACTGATGGGACATTTGCAACTAAAGCTGTGGTGGAGGTTAAAGTCCTTGATGCCAATGATAATAGCCCTGTTTGCGAAAAGGTAGGCACAATCTCGTATCTTCCATGTCCAGCTGCTTCCATGTGTAAAATGTATACTTTCTCTGAAACTGCTTCTCAGGAGACTGACAAATAGGTATTCCTTTTATGCTGGTAACAGAAATTTGGACTATTAAGATAGAATGCTGTCAAAAAATAGTTATTTCATGGACAGGTTTCTCAAAAAAAAAAAAATCCCAAAACAATTCATTGATGTAATTTTAACACTTGATGGGTATTTGAAAAGCATGAGGAGAATTGTAGTACACTTCTCCTATGTTAATGCATACTTCTCCAAAAGGAATTGTTTTAAGCTGTAGCCATGATAGTTTATATGCTCTGTTTTCTGAAGGAAGCAAAGTCTCAATGAAGGCTGCATACCATTACTTAGTTAATGTATTTGTGCATTTCCTGTGATAAGAGTTGAAAAGACTGGAATATTATTCTGCAGTTGCACTCTACAGCACCAAAAATCTGTAATCCATAAATGTTTTCTTGTTACATAGCCATCTACCTTACCAGATTTGATAGTCTGCAAAAACATGAAAAATAAAGAATGGGAAAAAACCAGAAAGGTGAACGCTGCAAGATGTATAACTTCCTTACAAGAAAGCTCTGAGTTTTCATAGTTAGCTTTTTTTCTTTTACTTTAGCACATTTGGACTTTTCATAGCCATCTTGTTGAACACAGGTTTGATGTTACTGGGTGGAAAGGCAAAATCTTTTCTTGTTCTGGGAAGGATCAAGTATACAGTGAGCATTTGACTCTTTTTCTTAGTCAATGTTTATGTTGGTTTCTTCTATATAAATGATGGCATTTATATACAGACTGGTGTCGTGGTTTAGCCCCAGCCAGCAACTAAGCACCATGCAGCTGCTCGCTAACTCCCCCTACCCCGATGAGATGTCAGTGTTTTTAGCTTTTTTTCTTTTGTTAATATTGGTTTTATAAGGCTATAAGGCTCAGTCCTTCTAATTTAATGCACATCCCTGACATGGATGAGCTGTAAGAATATGTAGTGCCTTTAAATTCTGGGTGGATTTTTTCTTAGTTTTTATTTAAACTGGAAGCTTTTATTTCATGCTGTTACAAAAAAGGCAGGTATCAATTTCTTCTAGATTGACTCAGACCTAGAAAAGATGATTTACCAAAAGAGGAAAAAAATGAAATTACCAAAAAAGTATAACTCCTATTTTGGGAATGCATTTAATTAGTAGTTAATAAGTTACAAGTGCTTAGAGTTCTTAGCTATGCAGTGATACTCGAGAGTCCCTATGGTTGCAATATTAATTACCTTTCTGAATAATCTAATGAATGTGAGATGATTAATTAGAAAATACTAACTTCTTTTCGTTTTCAGATATTTTGTCCTCTGGTTCACTTCATATGTTACCAAACATTCAAACAGGATATTATCCCATCTGTCATTCCTTCTTACGCTCCCCTTTCCAAGCTCTATTTATTTCATATGTTTAGTCTTTCAATGTAACTTTTAATCTTGCAGGCGTTGTACACTGAGTCTGTTCCTGAGGATGCCCTTCCTGGCAAACTGATAATGCAGGTATCTGCTACAGATGCAGATATTCGTTCCAATGCAGAAATTACTTATACACTACATGGCACAGGAGCAGAAAAATTCAGACTCACTCCAGACACAGGTAATAATGCTTTATACACTATACAAAATTCCAGTCATCACCTTATTTTATAAAATGTGTTACTCTTACATTAAGACTGACATCTATGCTTTCATTATTTTATTATTAGCATTTCATTATTTTATTATATAACTGTATTATGTATTATATATATAACTATATT